TGCTGAACTGGGGTCTGTACAGAGCAAAATATAAGAAACAATCTCTATGATTAAAAACAGGGCAAAATTGGTTCCTGGGATTCAAACAGGGATTAAATGGAATTACACAAAGCTAAATAATTATTGCCAAATGAACAAATTGTAACAGTACTGATGGCTAGAATGTACTCAGCTTAAACAGCAAGGAAGGAAATTGAGAATAGTTACATATAAAATTAGGCTTTGGAGTTAAAGTAACTAATTTCAGGCATCTAAATATTGCCTGATTTTTAATAGTTGTGCCATTTCTATTTCAAACAGAAATAGACACCATCGGCTGGGTTGAAACGAGGACTTGTGCACGTGTATTGTCATGTGAGCATTAGGCACAAATCTGTGCCATTTATGAAGGCATTTATGAAACACAGCTTGATTTGCAAAACCTCTGGAGATTCTAAAGGCTATCTCAGGGGATCCTTAGGACTTTTCTTGAACGTTTGAGCTTTGAAAAATTTCTGGAACTTCTTTCATTTACCAATTTTAAGGACAAAAATTAACTGTCTAGATGTGCCTTGAGACTTTTATGCCTTTTGTGGAGGCTTGCTGGACAGAGTTGCCCATTATAGCAGTGCTGGGTACATTCTTCCAAATGCCCCTGTTGTCTTCCTTCTCCCCTCCCCAGAAGCAGTACGGGGGTCAGAGGCCAACTGTAGAACTTCCATGGGCCTCACTAGGTGAGCCCTTGGGTAGTGTGGGTCTTTTTGAAAAACTATTGCTCTCCTTTTTTTCAGTCCATGTTGGTGGATAGGAAAAGAATCTGGTGATAACTGGGAATCTAAAGAATGAACTGAAAGGAGATACTCCATCTATGGCATTTTTTTTGTAGCTGGCTGGATCATCAGACTTAGTTGCTGTGCTGAGTTTACTATGTTACTTAAGCAGGGTTCTCTAAGCAGCTTTCAAAACTTCTATAATCCTAGTTACTCAGGAGCTGAGATCTTAGGCCCACAGTTTGAAGCTGATATAGGCAGCAAAGTTCAAGAGGTTTCTTTTCTTTTCTTTCTTTTTTTTTTTTTTGGTTGGTCGTGGGGCTTGAACTCTGGCCCTGGGCACTGTCCCTGAGCTCTTTTATTTTTGTTTTGTTTTTGGGTCTGGTTGTGGGGCCTGAACTCTGGGCCTGGGTGCTGTCCCTCAGCTCTTCAGCTCAAGGCTAGCGCTCTACCACTTGAGCCACAGCGCCACTTCTGGCTTTTTTCTTTTTGCTTATTTATGTGGTGCTGAGGAATCGAACCCAGGGCCTCATGCATGCAAGGCAAGTGCTCTACCACTGAGCCACCTTCCCAGCCCTGTCCCTGAGCTCTTAAGCTCAAGGTTAGTGCTCTACCACTTGAGCCACAGCTCCACTTCTGGCCTTTTCTATTTTGGTGGTGTTGTGGAATCGAACCTAGGGCCTCATGCATGCAAGGCAAGAACTCTACCACTGAGCCACCTTCCCAGCCCTAAGAGATTCTTATCTCTAATTAACTAACAAAAGAAGAGAAAAAAAAATCAAGAAGGGGAGCTGTGGTAGAGTGGTAGCCTACCAAAGAAACTCATGAACAGTGCCTAAGCCCTGAGTTCAAGCCCCAGGATTGGCGCACGCACACACACACACACACACACACACACACACACACACACACACACCCCTTTCTTCCCCCCAAAAATCTTAGATAAAATATAGATAATAGAGTTTATGCAGTTCTGCAGAGAGAAAACATGGCCTTCTTCTCAAAGTAAACAAAGAATTTACTCTTCGAACCTTACACTAGATGTTTGATCATTCTGATAGAGCCACAGTTAGACTAACTTAGGGCCCGGTTGCTGTCCCTTAGCTTTTGTGTTCAAGGCTGGTGCTCTACCACTTAAGCCAAAGTTCCACTTTAAACTTTTTGTGGTTAATTAGAGAGTCTCAGGGGCTTTCCTGCCTGGGCTGGCTTCAAATCACAATCCTCAGATCTCAGCCTCCTGAGTAGCTGGGATTATAGGTGTGAGTCACCAGTTCCTGGCTAGTTAGACTATTATTATAAAATAAGTAAGAGCAAGCATAAACACCAAAACTTTTGCTTTACAGTTCATTCTTTCCAAGTCCTGTTGATTCATATATAACAAATTTTCTCACATTTGACCTTTCAGAAATTTATTCCCCTCCTCACTCTCCACAATGAATTGACTACAGACATGATGCTCATCTCAACGGTCTGTTGCCTAAGGACACATCTCTCCTATAAGCACTGCATTGTGAACATGAAATTTTTTACCTAGATGGTAGAAATTAATTGCAAGATACCTTTAGTGTGGAAAGTTGGTGTAATGTCTCTGAGGGTCTATGATCTTTTCCATTCTGCCTTTCTCTATATCCTTGTTTCCCCCTACGTTCTTTTTTTAAATATTTTTTAATGTAAAGATACTGTACAGAGGGATTACAATTACATGAACAAGGTAATGAGTCCATTTCCTGTAGAGCATTGTTACACCCTCCTTTATTTTCCCCTACCATCCCTTTCCTCCCCACCTCCTCCGCAACTCCTCCCTCCCCTCCCCCCCCCCTCGCAAAGTTGTAAAGTTCGTTTTCAATATATTGTCTTATACATCTCATTGTTACAATAGGTCATCCTGTATCCTTATTTCAGCATTTTGTTATTTCTCTTCCCCTCCCCAAATTAGAAAAATGTATATACGAGATGCAGGACGTTGGAATCAAATACAGTGACAACAGGGGTTGTACCATGGGGGAAGAACATACAAAGAAACAAAAAAACCCACAAAGTACATGATAAGTACATTAAAAAGAACAGCAACAAAGATAAAACCTTTTGTGTCCCTATCTTGCAGTTCATTTTGCTTAGCATCAGGTTATATGGTCATATATACATAGCTTTTGACCTGTTCTGCTTATCCTAGACATATACTAGTTATTGCAGATAAGGGAAACCATGGGACCTATGTTTGTTTAAGTCTGGCTTACTACACTTAATATGATTTTTTTCCAAGTCTTTCTATTTCCTAACAAATCCCCTCCTGTTCTTATGCTGTATTTTCCTTCTTTACATTGGAGTTGCGTTCTCCTAGAAATCTTTTCTGATGAGCTTTCAGCCCATCTCACCATCATCTCTTACCTAGCTTGTCAAAACATTGAGCTGGGGTAGCTTTCAAGTGTCCTATTTTTTGTCACTCTAGTTTCTGTCACCTGTACAGCCTTCTTCTTTCCCTGACTCTTTACCCTTCCCAGCCTCCTGTCTGTCTGTGGTCAGAGCTGTGGTCAGAGCTGTGTGTGAGTCCCCTGACCCACTGGTCCCCTACCAATGACCCTCAACACTGAGGACACTTGTAGATCCTGGATGATGGAGCTGTTCGTCTAATGCTGTTTTAGACCCAGCCCCACACAGAATCTTGTGGCTCATTTGTATTTTAAAGAGATTCTTTCCCCCTCTAAACCTTTTTTTTTTAATCGGTCATAGGGCCTGAACTCTGGATCTGGGCACTGTCCCTCAGCTCTTCAGCTCAAGGCTAGCGCTCTATCACCTGAGCCACAGTGCCACTTCCAACTTTTTCTGCTTATGTGGTGCTGAGGAATCGAACCTAGGGCCTTATGTATGCAAGGCAAGCACTCTACCACTGAGCCACCTTCCCAGCCCCCCTCCCAAACCTTTTTATAGCCACTCCTGTTAGCTAAAATGCACTGACTATACCTAACCCCAAAACATGCAAACTTCACAACATAGCATGCTGCTGAGGGCCACTCTTTCCTTTTGCCATTCTGTGGCTTATGGGAAACTGTGGGTACTGCCTTTGCCCAGCATCTGAGAGATGATCCTGTTGATAGAACTGGAGACCATCGTATTAAGAGAAATAAGCAAGACTCAGCCAAGACAAAGGCCACAGGTTCTTGCTCATTTGTGGAAGCTCAAAGCAGTTGACTTGAATATAGAATAGAGGTTGTTAGAGGCTGGAGGTAGGAGCAGAAAGGGAGGGTGTATCAGGGTAAGTTCTATGCGTATATCAGTTTATCTTGTTATTGCATGGTAATAAAAATACACTAAAATAACAATCCTGAACTGTGAAAAATTGGATTAGACTTCAAAATCCGAGTTATGGCTTCTATTGAAAGGGATTTGTTTTCACACCATGATAAGCTGACCTATCTTCAGTTGGGGATGGTCTGTATTTGTAATTTGGTGTGTTTTCAAGGCAAGGCATCTGACCCTGACTGAAAAGTTGACAAAACAGCTTGCTGATAGGATAATCATAAAGCCCATGGACTTAGAAGTTCCTGAGATACAGAGCATCAGAAGTTGGAAGTCAACTAGCATTAGTCTGTGCATTAAAGACTAAATTGCTCATTTCAACCTTATCTGTCCATTAAACACTTGGTCTTGCAAGACTGTCATAAAACTCTTGTTTTCTGCTGTACTTCTTGTCTGCAAGTTAATTCTTTAAGCTTTGGACATCAACAAAGTGTTCAACTAAGAAAAAAGAGTGTGTCATTGGTCATAGGACACTATTTGTATACAACTACAATCATAAAAACAAGAGCTACAATATGTTCAGTGAAATGTTTTAAAATGCCTGTGTGTTGTTAGTTTACTTGGAGGACAGATAAGCTGACTCCCTGCTTCTCTCTCTTCTTTCCTTCCTTCCTTCCTTCCTTCCTTCTTTCCTTCCTTCCTTCCTACCTTCCTTCCTTCCTTCCTTCCTTCCTTCCTTCCTTCCTTCCTTCCTTCCTTCCTTCCTTCCTTCCTAGCTTCCTTTCTTCCTTCCTTCCTTCCTAGCTTCCTTTCTTCCTTCCTTCCTTCCTCTCTCTCTCTTTCTTTCTTTCTCTCTCTCTCTCTCTCTCTCTTTCTTTCTCCCTTTCTCTCTTTCTCTCTTTCTTTCTTCTGATATAAGCAAGCAGTTGTTTTCCTGGATGTTCAAGTGGAGTCTCTGGGTTTCATAGTCCCAACTGGCATGTGATAAATGACTCTGTCTCCCTTCTTCCTAAGGGAAGCCATCAGCCGTGTCTGCGAAGCAGTGCCTGGTGCCAAAGGAGCACTCAAGAAAAGGAAGGTACTGCCATTAACATCATGTGTCTCTGTGACAATGTCTCATTGCTTGGCATCTTCATTTACAAAATGATCTACTATCCTCTTCCCATGGCCTGCCTCTTATTATTTGTAAAATCAAAGAAAGCTAACATTGCTCTTGATTCCCTGTGGTTGAGGCCAGAGAACTGTCATTGCTGACCAACAGTAGACACTATGATCATTCATTGTGGTTTAATCCTGAAGATAATGACAATAGCAAATACTTGGTTAGATGTTCCTTTGAGGATTTAATATACATGAATTTACTTAATCATAGCAGCTCCTTGTGAAAGGTAGTCCAGTGGTGTGTTGGTAGCATTTTACCACCAGCTCTTGGGGATGAGGATTTAACACTTGCCAATTTCTGTGGTGTCAATACTTTTGTGCGGTTGACTTCAGCATGACATTCCTAGAAACAGTAGGTTTGGGACCCACAGTAGCACGTCATTATACAGAATTTCCACTGTACAGGTACAGCAGATGTGAAAAGCATAGGTGGGTTTCTAAAGCAAAACCATTTATCTGTCCAGTATTGTTTCTGTGTGTGTGTACACACCAATATTGCACTCATTTGGCTATTTCAATAATCACTGTCACACTATCATTTAAGCCACACCTCCACTTCTTTTTTGCTGGTTGATTGGAAATAAGGGTTTCATGGATTCAAACTTTGATCCTTAGATCTTGGCCTCCTGAGTAGTTAGGATTACAGGCATGAGCCACCAGTACCCAGCTTGTCTTTTTTTTTTTTAACTTAAAAATGTTATTATAAAGGTAATGTATGGGGTTGGGAAGGTGGCTCAGTGGTAGAGTGCTTGCCTTGCATGCCTGAGGCCCTGGGTTCGATTCCTTAGTACCACATAAGCAAAAAGAAAAAAGCCGGAAGTGGCGCTGTGGCTCAGTGGTAGAGCACTAGCCTTGAGCTTAAGAGCTGGGACAGCGCCCAGGCCAGAGTTCAGGCCCCACCAATGGATCCAAAAAATAAATAAATAAATAAAAATAAAGGTAATGTAAAGAGGACTTACATAAGGCAGGTAAAGGGTACATTTCTTTTTGGACAATGTCAGCACCTCTCTCGCTCTCTCCCAGTTTCCCGCCTGTCTCCCACCCACAAATTATAGAGTTAATTTTCAACATAGTGTCCGGTGAGAACCATTGCTGCACTTTCCACCCTTTGTCCTTCCACTGTGCCTCCTCTTTCACTCTCAAAGACATATAAATGAACGAACAGAACAAAAAGAAACAACAAAGAAAAGCTTGTTCCCATTTCCTTGTTCCCATTTATCATTTTGATAAATATTATTATTCTGTATGTTCAGAGGTACATAGGCCTTGTGCCATTCTGTTCCTCTCCTAAGAGACTTTAAAAAACTGTGATATATTTCATTGTGAATTTGCATCGGTCATTTTAATAAAATTATTAAGAAGCAGCCCATGCAATTCCTAAAAGTTCTAATGGGATCTCACTAGCTGAAACTATGCAACATCAGTGGAAATCCTACTTATAGATGATAAAAACTAAGGCACAGAGGTGAGAAATCTTAATACAGGTAGGAGGTGGAGCTGAGGTCAAGCCCAATCCGCCTGCTCCAGGGACTAGTTCAACCCTATCTTGAATAAAAAGTTGGAGTAGAAAAAAACAAAATATTTGAATTAAGAGCAAACACACACTCAAAACCTTTTTTTAGTGACACGTGCAGTAAATAAATCACTGTACTTATGATTGTGACTGTTCTCTGCCTAGAAAGAATTGTGTGTAAGAGTATCTTAAAGACCCTGAATCTGCCCCTGAGACTGTGCATTTGATTCCAACTGATTCTGGAAAACAATTCCCTGCTATTCCTAGCCCTATTCATCTGCCATTGGAGCTGGGTGGTGGGGAATCCATCTATCCATGGATTACCTGGGTTTCTAGCAGAGAACTTTGACAGCTCAGGTATGCTAGTCTAGGTTTTATCGAATCCTCTGGGGATCCTAGGGATGAAGCTCTGGAATCCTGAAAACAGGAACTAGGAAAAAATCTCAAAACAGTGCTAGGTGATCTCATTTCTCAGAACCAGGTGGTACTGACAAGCCTTGGGGTATGCTTATGGCTCTTGGTAGGTAGAAGTAGAGCTCATGATCATTGCTAGATTTTATCTTAGATGCACTTGACCCAAATCTCACAGGGGAGAAGAGCAGTGGAAGGGTATCTCTATTTTTAAAGAGTTCTTTCAAGAATGTTGACTCTTTTTTTTTTTTAAAGAAAGGATTGCCACAGAGACCAAAGGAAACAACATTTATCTGATTTCTCTGTGAAGCAAAGAGCCGTGTTTTGAATCCATGGAATCAGGTCAGGCTTGAATAGTATATATATAAGCCCAGGAGAGATTTTTTTTTAATAGAGGTTATTTCATAAAAAGTTGTTTTTAGAGGCATTTAAATTGGCTGTGCAGAAACTCTAAACAGCAAAACCCATTCTGATTGGTTTGTGGATTAGGGCACACCCATCTGGGAGCTACAGAAGGCCAGTGAATACTGACTTAAGGGGTTTATCCTTTGGTCTGCCCTTCAGCAGTTGGAGTGCATTGCTTATGATCCCTCAACTCCACTTTAGAAAGCCTTAGTGTTAGTTACTTTATTTTCTCTCCCAGGAGATTAAAAAAGTGCATGCCTGGTTAGAAATTAATTAGCATACTTATGAGAGGTTATTGTAATCTAAATGAAAAGAATGAGTTGATCCAAAAGGCCAGAGAGATGAGTGCTTCAAAGCCTGTCCAGGGACTCCAGGGAGGAAGGAAGTGCTTAGCTGGAAACTAAAGTCCTTGCATTTCTGCACAGAGACTTTTCTGAAGGAGCAGAGGAGACACAGTTATGGCCAGCCTCTGTCTCTCCATCCTGTGTTGGCTCCTGGCCAATGGGCCATCTAGATAAGCTTTGACCAGAAAGATGTTTAGACTCTTCCCTTCAGTGATGAGCATCCTGGTTACCCTCTGTGATTGCTCATTAGCTTCATGTCTGCTCTGAGAGATAGTTTGATTCTTGGTGTGCTGAAACCAGGTATCTAAATATGCAATGCTGTGTGTTTGTGAACTCCCTGCTATTTTTCCAGGCCCCATAGGGACCCCATGAGACACAAGTATGTGGTAAGAGGCAGCCAGGAAGATTGATACCTCTGACTGTCCACAAGGGCCCTCATCTCAGCATTTGCACACTAGGTCTTGGACAACTTACATATGGCATATTGTGGATTGCGCATATTAGCACTGACTCCCACCCTTCCAGTCCATCCATTTTTTTCTTGTCCTCCTGTACCTAAAGGATTAGGAGCAATCAGTGATGGTTTGGGGGTGTGCTGACATCTGTGTCTCCACCCTTTGAGTCTGAGAACACTATTTCTATAAATAAAAAGCTGAAATAATGAAACATTCTTTGATTTCACAGCCTCCAAGCAAAATGCTATCCAGCATCCTGGGAAAGAGCAATCTCCAGTTTGCAGGAATGAGCATCTCCCTGACCATCTCCACCGCCAGCCTGAACCTGAGGACACCTGACTCCAAACAGGTGTGGTTGCTCAGGGTTTCCAGCCTGGTGGAGCCCTGAAGATGGGAGTTCATGGACTTCCTGCTTGTAGCTTCCTGAGTCCATGGGCACTATGCTCATGTCACATGTTGACTCATCTGTAGACTTTGGCCACTGTGAAGAGTCATCAATGGAATGATTCATGAGCTTGCTCCCTTTCATTATATTCTAATGTGTATGTGTGTGTGTGTGTGTGTGTGTGTGTGTGTGTGTGTGTGTGTGTGATGCATGAAGTTGTTGGTTTACTTACAGTAGAGCAACAGAAGTGATGTGTGTGCAAACTCTTCTGTTCATTGTCTTTGCCCTTTTATAATTCCCTTTTTATTGTTTTTATAGACCACATTTTAATTTTATCACCTCTGAAGCAGAGAGCAGGCCATGGTTTAATTGGAAGTTGTTTTTCTTTCTTAGTGGTTTTATATTTTGGAGCATGGTCCAGTTCAGAGTGTTGCAGGATTGGTGAGATGTGATGTGTCTAGAGAATAATCAGGGTGGGCAACTTCAGAGCTGAGCAAAGCAGTATAGACAGACTTATTAAGGTTAATTCCATTTGGGATGGTTGTACCAGGCACAACATCTGTCTTCTAGGTTTCTCTATTTAGCATTAGTTTCTTAAGTGGGAAAAAAATGGGTATATGAGTGGCTGCCTGGCTACCAACAGGTCATTTCTGAAGGTCCAATGAGAAGAAGGAAGCAAAGATGCTTGTATAGTATGTAGCATGTGAACATCATCCCCTGCTCTGACCAGACCCAATGTTAGCAGTGTGAGTTACACATTGTGTGTGTGACACAATTCTGATTCTTACTGTCTTGCCAGGGATGACATCGTCACCTTTATAGGTATTTCTATTTATTGAGTACATAGTCCCAGGTAAGTGGGTTGCATCTCCAGCTCTATTGACCCTACTCTTCCCACCCAAGATGTAGCACTAAACCTAGATCTTGTGTAGATATGAGAAGGGGCATTCTGGTCTTCTTTGAACATAACTAAATACCACTTCTCTATTCTTTTATCCTCCAGAGACAACCCCCACCCCAGGAAATCCATTTTTAAGGATTAATTTTCATGTAAAGCATGTTGGTCAGGGTCAGCCTTTCTTTGAACTGTCTCCAATGGAGCTCATGCTGTTGGTGGAGACTGGCCCTTTCAGGCACTCATATTTGCACTCATATCCTATATGGCTAGTAGATCATTTGTTTTTTGGAGCCTGCAAGCTATAACCCTCTACTAGATGGGGCCTTATCTCTGAATGGCCCCTTCTTCATTCCTCACTTCTGTAAAAAAGGGATAGTTTGGCTGGTGCTAGGATGGGTGGCCCTACTCCATTAGTGCTGAGCCCCGGGGAACTCAGAAAATGCCAGTATAAAAGGATGCATTCTCTAGCAGGTTGGGTAAAGACAAAGCTCTTGGCTCTGGTTCTTCCTTTGTTCACTCTAGGTCCCAATTATAGTAAATGGGAACTCACCTGGTGAGACACACCCCTTCTCTGTCCAGAGAAAGCAGACAGACAGAACTCACAGCAAATTGCAAATAGCAGAGTCAAGATAAAACTCTGAGCTGAGTGCTTGGTGGATCACACCTATATTCCTAGCCACTCAAGAGGCGAAATCTGAGGATCAATGTTCGAAGTCAGCCCAGGAAAGTCCATGAGACTCCTTTTTTTTTTTTTTTGGAGGTTGTAGGGCTTGAACTCTGGGCCTGGGCGCTGTCCCTCAGCTCTTCAGCTCAAGGCTAGTGCTCTACCACTTGAGCTACAGCACCACTTCCGGTTTTCTGATGGTTTATTGGAGTTTCATGGAGTTTCCTGCCCGGCTGGCTTTGAACTATGATCCTCAGATCTCAGCTTCCTGAGTAGCTAGGATTAGAGGTGTGAGCCACTGGCACCTGGCCCATGAGACTCTTTTCTCCAATTAACTGCCAAAAAAATCTGGGAGCAGAGGTGTGACTCAAGTCATACTGCTCTAGCATTAAGCAAGAAAGGTCAAGGACAAGACCTAGTCATTGTTCATGCCCCAGGACTGGCACACTAAATAAATAAATAAAGACTAAAGACTTAGAGACTTTTCTGAAGAGAAAATAAAAATGGCCAATAGACACATGAGGAAATGCTCACTATCTCTGGCCATAAAAGAAATGCAAATCAAAACAACATTGGGATTCTACCTCACCCCAGTTAGAATGGCTATAATGAAGAAATCATATAACAGATACTGGAGGGGATGTGGCCAAAAGGGAACATTACTACACTGTTGGTGGGAGTGTAAACTTGTTTAGCAACTCTGGAAAGCAGTATGGAGGTTCCTCAAAAGACTACACTACACATAGAGCTTCCCTATGTCCTAGCAATCCCACTACTGGGCCTGTACCCAAAAGACCACAAACAAGGCCATACTAAATAAAACCAAAGTAGAAGCACATGCCAATACAGGAAAGTTGATTGGCTCTAATTTTCTCACTTTCTTTTCAGTTTCTGTTACTAGAAGAAGATAGATACAGGCACTGAAAAACTGTTTGGTGTTGACCTGATGTTGACTTTCATTTTTTTCCACAAAGTCAGAACTTCTAGCTTCCTTTCTCAGCTTCAGTTTGAATTTCTTTTTCTTTGAATTTCTTTTGGTTAAAAGCATGAGTTAAATAAGCAAAAATCTTATATACACAAAGATTAATGGTGCAAAAATTTTAAATGTCAGAAGTCCTAGATTTTCCTTGTTTGGGGATGGCTAGTTCTCCTTGTTCTTTCAAGAGCTGTCTATCAGTGGCAAGCGGTAGATTCTAGGGCAAGCAACTATTATTAGTTCAAGTGAATTGGGGCTTGGACACAAGCTACCCTGCCAGTCACACTGTTTTATATTCATGAATATATTCGAGTTTTTCTAGGTCCTGAAGTTTTACAAATGCCACTTAACAAATTAGGCATTTAAAAATATCTTGGGAAGCAGAGATCAGAGTATTATGATTCAAAGATAGCCCAGGCACAAAAAATGTTTACTGGACTCCATCTCAACCAATGGCTAGGTATGATGGTGCATGGCTGTCATCCCTACCACCAGGAAGCACAAGTAAGAGGTTCACACTGCAAGTCAGATCATCAGAGCGAGACTTTTCCTTGAAAATCAGCAATGCAAAAAGAGACTGGAATCATGGCTCAAGTGGTAGAACACCTACCAGTAAAGTTCAATTTCCAGTAATGCTTAAAAAAAATACCCAACAAGCAAATCTTCTCAGTGTGTGCTCAGCAATGCATGAAGGCCTAGGTTCAATGTTCAGCACCTCAAAATGGAAAAAAAAAAAGTTATGATGTAGTTTGGTTGTGTTCTACATGCAGCTTCACAGGAACATTTTTTAAATCTCCAGGATATTATTATTATAAATCATATTAAGATAATAAATGAGCTTTGTAAATCCCAACTGTCTGCTGAAGGGTGAAAGCTTGAGCAGGCTGCCCAGAAATAAACCTGGTTGCATTGGGATGGAAGCGAGATCTTCCACCCCCGAAATTCAATGTCAATCCATTGTCTTTATCAAGATAAAAATAGTGCGGAAGATTTAGACAGCTTTGGAGATTTAGGGCAGCTTCTAATTTACTCAGTGTCTGCTGAGTTTCATTTAGGCGACAGTTCACAAAGCAAATGGGAATTTCCCATTTTAAAATTAACTTGGAATGTCTTCCCTGGTTTTAAAGTTGACAAATTTTACACGTGCTTTAGGAACACACACTTTGGATATTGGCTGCTGACTTTCTGATTTAAAGAAACATGCTACAAATAAAGAGAGAGATGAGAGCACGTTTCCTTCCTAGCTATGGGGTCTATAACAGAAGCCCTGTTATACTTCTAGAACTAGGAAGTTGCACTGTTTGAGTGTGTCAGTGGCATTTCTTAACACACTTGTTAAAACTCTGACTTTGGGTTGGAGACTTGGGCTTGAGCTCAGAGCTTGTGCGGCTCAAGGTTTTTTGCTCAAGGTTAACACTTTACCATTTGAACCACTTACCATTTGGAACCACAGTTCCATTTATGGCTTTCTGTTAGTTTATTGAAGATAAAAGTCTCATGGACTTTTCTGCCCCAATTGGCTTTGAATCACAATCTTTAGAGCTCAGCCTCCTGGGTAAGCTAGGATTATAGGTATGAGCCACCAGCGTTTGGTGTCGCTCATCTTTTTACTTTGAGCAAGCTACTTGGTCTATGGCTACAAACTCCTCATCTGTAGAGGAATTCCCAGCTCCTGATTGGCTAGCCAACCAACTAGATAGCAATGGGACTTAGACTGGGTATGTTTACAACAGGGGATCTAGCTGTAGTCTTTGCTTTTGTGCAGGTGCCAGTTTTCAAGAAAGCTTGTCAATTTATATGCCTGCCAACAAGTACTTGGTTTTGCAAGACCTGGAAAGGGTAATAACATCCTGTCTCTTTTTGTTTGGGCTTGGCAGATCATAGCTAACCATCACATGCAGTCCATTTCCTTCGCCTCAGGAGGAGACCCGGTAAGTATGCTCTGATTTGTTTCTCTTGTTCTTGTTACAAATTTCTGAGAAGGGATTCTTGTATCCACAGTGTGCCCCATAAGACCATAAGACATAAAAAAGTGAATCCAACTATTTCCCCTTCTTGGTTTCAGAAGCTGCTCCCCTCCTCCTTTTTTCTTCTTCCTGTTTTGTGCCAGTACTAGGGCTTGAACTCAGGTCCTGGGTATGGTCCCTAAGCTTTTTTGCTCAAGGTTGATGTTTTACTACTTGAACTATGTTTCTACTTGGAACATTTTGCTGGTTAATTGGAGAGAAGGGTCTCATGGATTTTTTTCAGTTCTGGCTGGCTTTGAACAGCCATCCTCAGATCTCAGGCTTCTGAATAGCTAGGGTCACAGGCATGAGCCACCAGTGCCTTGCTATCAGAAGCTCTTTTTGACTGTGTTGTTTGAGGAGAGGTAACCCATGATGAGTACTTACAATTAGTTTTCATTTCATTGACAAAAAGCTTCAGAAACTCTGGAAGCATTTTCCTTCTTAAGAGGTGACAAATAGGTCCCAGTTTTCAACTATCTGAGTCTTCTCACGTATACACCTGTATTTACCCTACATTTATTTCTGGTGCTTGTACTGGTACTTGAACTCAGAGCTTGGGTGCTATCCCTTAGCTTTTGTTCTCAAGTCTGGCACTCTGTCACTCGAGCCACAGCTCACTTCCAGCGAATGTGTGTGTGTGTGTGTGTGCTTAATTGGAGTATCAGAGACTTTTCTGTTCATAGCTAGTTTCCAATCTTGATCCTTAGATCAAGCCTCAGCCTCCTGAGAAGCTACCATTTATAGTGCCCCTCTTCCTCTCTCCCTCCCCACTTCTTCTCTTTCTCCTTCTTTTCCTCCTCCCTCTCCTCAGCTTTCCCCTCCTTCTCATCTTCCTCCTCCTTCTCCTCTCCCCAGCCCCAGATAGGGCCAAACTCAGATGCTCACTACCCACTAATCTGTTGATGCTCAGTCCTTCAAACCATCGTAGGAAGGAAAGGCAGAGAGAAGAGGGGAGGAAACAGGTCCCACCCTTCTCAGCAGTGGACAGGAGAAAGGATTCTTCTCCCCTGGTACATTGTTATATTCGTTTTCACCAGTCTGGGTAAAGCTTTCACTAGTTCAGTGATATTTTTTAGGATGATAAGATGAGGATTCATTTTTTTGTGAGATACTTTTACTCAATTGAAAATAATGTTCCCCATATTCTTGTTAGTTTTTTTGGTGTTAAATAGCCTTTATATAATAAAAATAATAGTGGGTTATGGTTTGTTATTATACTAAAGTTTCAGTAGGCACTGTTATTCAAAAGTGTAGCCATCCAAGATAACCCAAGGGATTGGCATATTCATCCTCTCTTTAAGGTCAGGGACCCTGTTGATTTCTATTTGCACCATGACCTTCTTACCTCTTCTCCTGGATTCCTTTGACCCTGGTACCCTGCTGTCAAAGAATGACTGTTGACACGTAGGAAGTAAATGAAGAACCATTTCAATTGCAGATTCCAGAGCCTTCCTTTTCCTAAAGGACCAGGTGGTAGAGATCAGCAATGGGAAATCCTTGGCCAAGAACAGGGCCGGGGAGGCAACATGACTGCAGTGAGGGATGGGGCTGCATGCTGGCTGGGTGAGGGCGGGGCCCTCTGCCTTTCAGCAACCCCACCTCAGACCTTGAGCCACAGATACTGGGCAGAGGAAAAGATCTGCCCACCCCTGCATTTGGCTCTTCGCTCTCAAATCATCTCCTAGTAGTCTGAGGATGACCAGGGCACAGTTCAGCAGTCTCACCCGAGAGCTCCTGTGGCTTGAGCCCTTTACCACACTTGATGGTGGTGTTTTTCAAAAGCTTCCTCCCATAACAGATTTCTATCATTTTTCTTTTCCTCGGCTGAGCCTTTCTTTTCTTTCTTATCCTTCTGAGTTCTTACGTTTCATCCTAACAGGAGATTTTGAGTGAGATGCCTATTCAGAAAGCGGAATTGTCCACAGTGTCTACCCGTAGAGCAGTTCTTTAGATAACACCTGCATGTACATGTGTGCCTAGTTTTTACCTTTACTGTCCCTCCTCCCCCCGCCCCCCACATACACCCAGACCTTCCCCCACATGTCTCCTCCAGGATTCTGACTGATTGCTAACCCATAGTCTGTCTGGAAGCATACTCTGTCCTCCTTCCCTCCTTCTCTTCCTGGTGCTGGGGATAGAACCATAGCTTCTTAAATGTAGAAGGGAGCCTAGTATGAGAAGATAAAAGCAGATATCGTGTTCATCTGGATCAACAGCTCCTTTCAGGAAATCTTTTTACACTTTATTTTTTAACCATATTATGAAGATAGACACAAGTATCTAACTCACAGGGAGCCAAATGTATTGGCTCACGTTAGAATTGTTTTATTTATAAAGATGCGAATGAGACTATAATTTTTAAATGCCTTATTGTGTCTTCAATAAAAGAAAATTGAAAAGAAAGATTAATAACATTAAGGGACACACTTACATTAATATGTGATGCTTTGTATTTTATATTTTCTGTAACTTCCTTTTTTTTTTTTTGGTGCCCATACTGGAGCTTCAACTCAAGACCTGTTATCTTATTTCAACCTTCAGTATAATTCGACAGTGCCTTCTTCATACCTTCCCTCTCAACTGTGGTTGATAGATTTGTCATTGACATAGGGTTTTCCAATTTCTCCTTTTTCTTTTCTTTTCTTTTTTTTTAATTGTCAAGCTAGTGTACAGAGTGGTTACAGTTACATAAGCAAGGTAATAAGTACATTTCTTGTCAAACTTGTTACCCCTTTCCTCATTTTCCCTCCCCCTACCCCACTCCCCAAGTTGTACACATCATTTCCAACATATTGTCTTGTGTATGTCACTGTTGCATTGGTTCCCCCGTTGTCTTTTGTCTCACCATTCTCTTCCCAAATTCAAATAAACACATATACAATACCAGGGTACCCAAACCAAATACAGTGACAACACGGAATATACTTGGCTTTTTCATTCGCAGCTGGCTCTCTATCACTTGGCATGCCTCTAGTTCCTGTGCTTTGATTAGTAATACAAAAAAGGATTGCTTCCCATTTTATCCATTCCAAATACAGGTGAAATTATGCATGCAACCCATTACAGATTAAGCTATAGTCCTGATTTTAACATATAACAATTTATAGGTGATTTTAATGAAAGAATTCTAGGTTCTAGCTTAACACTCTGTGTCTGGATCTTAACATTTGTCCACATCAAGCAAAAATTATATATATATATATATATATGTATAATAATATGTGAATTATACATATGTACATATATATGATAAAAGGACATATCTCTACATAAAGCATATATATCTATATGTGAAAGTCTATCCATCTATCTGGAAAGTGAATTTATTTATAGGTTTGGAGAATGGGAACTTCTCCATCTGTGTCTACCTTGCCCTCCACAGAGTCAAAACTACGAGGAAAGGTGAAACAAAAGCCAGGACTAGAACTGGAACTGAGACAAGTCTTTCTCCTGGGAAATCTTTCTCTTGGCACCTAAGGCTCTTGCTGTAGGCTATTTTCATTCTCAGTATGGTTATTTCTGACAAAGATCCCAATCCCTAATGCCCCATTAAAATATCTGCCACTTATCACTTTGCCCCTTAGTCTACCCAGTAGGAAAATAGCAGACAAAATTATCAAGTTAGACAAGCTATAAAACACTATTAACTCATTTCCCCAATTAGTGCATTCACTGTGTAACTGGGCAATGTCAAGGTCATTGTATTGAATCCTAATATCCACAAGTATAGCAGCAGCTGCTCACCAGTGGCTCATATCTGTAATCTTAGCTACTCAAGAAGCTGAGATCCAAAGGATCAAAGTTCAAAACCAGCCCAGGCAGAACAGTCTTCAATACTTATCCATCTAATCAGCAAAAAGATTGACTGGAGGCATGGTTCAAGTAGTAGAGTACCAGGCCTGAAGAAGTAAGCCAAATGAAGTGTATGGACTTCAAGCCAGGATAGTGGAACAAAATAAACAAACACAAGAAGAAGTATCCTAGGAAAGGAACAACACTGGTATACTGGTAGAGCCATACCCTCACTGACCATCTGAGAGATGCACATCATATCTCATTACTGCCCTTCTTTCCCTAACTGCGTGCCAGAGTAAAGATCCCTAGACCAGCGCAAAAACCATTTATTAAAAAATAAAATAAAAAAGCCAGGCTCCGGTGGCTCACGCCTGTAATCCTAGCTACTCAGGAGGCTGAGATCTGAGGATCACTGTTCTAAACCAGCCTGGGCAGGAAAGTCCATGAGACTCCTCTCTCCAATAAACCACTAGAAAACCGGAAGTGCTGCTGTGGCTCAAGCGGTAGAGCACTCGCCTTGAGCTGAAGAGCTGAGGGACAGCACCCAAGCCCAGAGTTCAACCCCCACAACCAACAAAAAATAAAATAAAATAAAATAAAATTTCCCTGTATATACAAATGCTGACTCAAATTAATTTTGTTACCTGAAGATGTAAAAAGACATTGACACTTTATGTTATACTTTTTAAAGAACTCTGTAAACCCCAATCAAATTTGAAAGTTAAATAAAAAGACTGACTGAAGCCAATAACGTTCAAAGTTACATTAATTCACTGTGATGACAACGTTGCTGAAACTAAATATCTGCTCTTGACATGTTACTATACTGGCTGCCAAGGTTCAGAATTTTTTTAAATGTGGCCTATGAATATCTCCATGTCACCCCCGGCCCCGCCCCCCCGGCCACTTTGGAAATCTTTTTAAATTATTATTATTGATCTAAAGGTGATGTACAGTGCAGTTACGTTCACATGAGTCAGGTAATGAGTACATTTCTTTTTGAACAATGTCACCTTTTCCCTTGCTTTCTCCCTGTTTTTCCCCTCCTGACCTCCCTTCCCCACAAGGTGTATAATTCACATTCAACATAGTGTCTAGTGAGCATCGCTGCTCATTTGTTCACTTTATCCCCCACCTCTGTGCTTCCCCCTTCTCCTCCCCAGGATAGATACACTTACGTATAGAATTTTTGAGTTAAGGGTCTCGATTTCCATAGGCATTCGGATGATTTAATTCTTCTAGTACTTCCTCCTCCCAAAGCAAAAACTTTAGTTGTGCTTCATTGTGTACAACTGTGACGGCAATTTGAGTCAAGTGGAGCACAGGAGACTACTCAGTATTTTCTTTCAAATTCTTTAAAAACTCGGCACCCATAATATCCAAAACCCAACTGCAGACCTTGGCACTGAATTTGCACACAGAGCTTGATGACACACACATCCTGTCTAAATAATCCTGTTTGTTCTCCCATTAGTTTAGTCTTTCCATCCTTCCTTCCATTTCCTTTCTTCCTTCTATTTCCTTTCTTCTTTCTATTTCCCTCCTTCCTTCCTTCCTTCCTTCCTTCCTTCCTTCCTTCCTTCCTTCCTATCCTGTTCTCTTTCTTCTTTCCTTTTGCTTTCTTTTTTCCCTTCCTCTCTCTCTTGTTTTCCTTCCTTCTTTCTTTTCCTCCTTCCTTCCTTTTCTTTCTTTCTTCCTTCCCTCTCTCTTGTTTTTCCTTCCTTCCTTCCCTTTTTCTTTCCTCCCATCTCCCTTTCTTCCTCTCTTTCTTTCCCTCCTTCCCTCCTCTCTATTTCTCTCTGTCTCTCTGTCTGTCTCTTTCAAATACACACACACTTTCCTGCCAGTACTAGGCACTATCCCTTGGCCTTCTTTTTTTTTTGCTCGAGTCTGGTATTCTAACAATTGAGCCACACCTCTATGTCAGGCTTTTTGCTGGTTAATTAGAAGTAATAATCTCAGACTTTCTTGCTGGGATAGTTTTGAAAACTACAATCCTCAAATCTCGGCCTCCTGAGTAGCTAGGATTGGAGGCATGAGCTATTAGTGCCCAGATTGTCATGTTAGTTAAGCTTATGGAGTGGGGAATACAAAACTGAGAAACAATTTTTGATGACACTTCAAATGTTAGAAAACACACATAAGTTTCATAAGTTCCAGTATGAGAAATTTGATTTCTCTAAATACTCTTGGAAGTCCCCCTAAGGACCCTTGAACTCTTATATCCATGAATTTAGAATGGAAGTCTATGAGCTACACTCTGTATTTTTACCAAGAGCTCAAGACCCTCAGCTCCTCACTGCACAGCAATGAATAGAAGTCAGTTGGTCATCTCCTCCCTGCCCTACCAATGAACAGGGAGAGGAAATTACACACAGAATGGTCCTGGGTAGTAGGTCTTTGTCTACACAACTGCGGGCAGAGTTCTCCTCATTTCCTTCCCTATGGGCTTGTGCGATTCAGAAACTTGGCAGAAGTGCCAGAGAGCACCCACTACCTCCTCAGAACCCAACCAGGACTCCACACAAGTCTACACCCACTCCTCCTCATCCCGTTCTTGTAGCATATTCTAGGGTGTTGTTGGGAGAGTAAAAGCTGCACCCTTTGCTCCTAGACAGTGACAGGAGTCACCACAGAAACCCCTGCAAGTGCTGATGACATCTATCTACCCCGGAGCCCTTCAGAACAGTGGGGTTGGAAATTAGCTACAAAAATAGGGTGACTTGAATAGCTACACTCAGAGTTGGGTTTTTTTTTTTTAGTGCTGTAGTTTTCTCTCTTTTCAAGAATTCAGAGTCTGATTAGCTCCTTGATTACTTGTTGAGAAAATAGCAGACACAGGGCTGCCTTGGCATACCTTTGTGATCTTGCTTTCTTCTATGCATTGGTTTCAGTAAGGTGAGGGAGGAAATTCATATTCCACCTGAAAGAACAAACCTTCTCTATGCAGTGCTTATAAATATGTTTTTGAAATTTTATATTAACATATATTAATTGTACAAAATGATAGATTCCATTGTAACACGCATGCATGTTTCTGATTTCACATGTTACATGTCATATACTTAGATTATATCTATTCTGTTCAAATACCCTCTCTTATTCCTCTCCCTTCTTTCCCTAGTCCTTTTTCTCTAAGAGTCTTCCTTCTATTCTTTTTTAATTTAATTTAATTTTTTTACTCTCCACATATGTGAAGTGGCTTCTTTTAAAGATAAAAGAAAAGTTTAAGGACCTGGTGGTGCAATGGTAGCATGTCTGACTCCAAGAAAAGTTTATTAGAAGAGAAATATGACAGAGTACAAGAGCATGCAGCCTTGATATGCCATGCAGAAGAGAGCAGTTGAGTCTATTCTACCATCTTGACCGCTTCAGCCATTTTCTTCCTTGCAGAGGTTGGTCTTGGATTAAAAAGTGAGAACTGAAAGTCTTTGTGATGGGTGGATCTCCTTTTCATTTTCTGTAGGTGTTTGATGTACAACATGATATTATTGTTCCAAGTTTGTCTTATTTGGCTTAAGTGATCTCTAGCTTCATCCATTTACTTACAAATGACCTGATTTCTTTTTTTTATTTAATGTCTAAACAATTCTCTGTTGTGAATACAGACCACATTATCTGTATCCTTTTATCCTGTGGCACTTAGGCTGATTCCCTATCTTGGCTGTTGGAAATAGTACCATTATAAACAGCTTAATGGATGAAAATATTTTCTTTTTCAAAAGAAAGAAAATAAGAATCTTGTGTGTGTGTGTGTGTGTGTGTGTGAGAGAGAGAGAGAGAGAGAGAGAGAGAGAGAGAGAGAGAGAGAAAGAGAGAGAGAGAGAGAGAGAGAGAGAGAGAGAGAGATAGTCCAGAAGCTTGAACCCAAGGGCTGTCCTTGAGCTTCTGTTCTCAAGACCAGTGCTCTACCACTTGAGCCACAGCTCCACTTCTGGCTTTTCCTACTCAGGCTGGCTTCTAACCATGATCCTCAGAACTCAGCCTCCTGAGTAGCTAAGATTATAGGCATGAACCACTGGTGCTGGGTGAGAAGAACTATTTTATCTTTCCCACACAGAGTGTTTTCACCCTAATCTTCACATAACCACTCTGCTTTTCTTCCTGAATAGAGAATTTTCTCTGATTGTGGTCCCCACCCCAGTGGTAGTTGTGACTTGTCAGAAATCTAGCTTGTGAGCTCTGCCAGAGATCCACCAGATTGGGAACTCTGAGGTGTGGTACAGTTCTCTGTTTAAGAAGCCCTACAAGAAACCCTGACAGTAACTCAAATTTGAGGGCACTGCCAGCAATGCCATCCATCTGTGGTTTACGCTAGTATAATTGGGAGCTTTTAAAAGTTTCTGATAGGCAGGTCTCACATTCAAGCCAGTTAAATCAGATGATCTGGGTGATAGGACTGAGCTTCCCAGGAGGTCCACCATGAGAGACTAGGTACCTTGTCTTCTTTGCAGAGGCCACAGCATCTGCACAATTCAGACCCTTAGGTCCCCAGGATCTGCATTATAAGATCTCCATGTAATACCTGCTTGCCTTTTCATAAGATACCTTGGTTGGACTGTTTTGTAGGCAGCATTTGATTATGTTTTCTTGGTAGGCCTAGGGGATCAAACTCAGGGCCTCTTGTCTGGTAGGCAAGTGCTCTAACACTGAGCTGATTTGTGTGTGTGTGTGTGTGTGTGTGTGTGTGTGTGTGTGTGTGTGTGTGTGTGTTGTGAGTGCACGCGCATGCTGACTTTACCACTTGAGCTGCAGCTCTACTTCCAGCTTTTTGCTGGTTTATTAGAGATAAGAGTCTCACAAACTTTCCTGCCTGTGCTGGCTTTGAACCATAATCCTCAGATATCAATCTGCTGAGTAGCTAGGATTACAGGCATGAGCACTGGTGCCTGGTCATAGCCCTGATTCTTTAGTGGTATGATGGATAGGCATGTAGTATAGACACTGTATTCCTGTGGTGTTACCTCTCAGTGTGATGAGTGATCGTCTATCATCTTTTTCTTAACAGGACACAACAGACTATGTTGCCTATGTAGCCAAGGACCCTGTGAATCGCAGAGGTAAGCAGACTTGGTCCTCATAATCATTCATTCAAGTACAGCTAGGTTTCATTAGCCCTGAGTAGCAGGTGTTCCTCATTATCTCAGCTTCTGCCACCAAATGAGCCTGTCTCACATGATATTACCAAGGGTAATGGAGGTTTGCAAGGGCAGCACATCACCTGGTTCAGTTAGATTTGAGACACAGATTTATACACACACACACACACACACACACACACACACACACACACACACACACACCTGTATTCAGATGGCTATGGTTTTACATCTGACTTATAGAGCAGCCTTCATGGGTGCTGTGATACTGTACCTGTGACATTGTGTATCTGAAAGATTCCACACTTGCCTATCCTCCTTTCTGGCTTCTGCTCTTCTTTTGTGCTTACTGTCCTGTCTCCTGCGCCTGAGGCCACCTCCACCTCCAAGTGCAGGGGAGATTGTCCCTGATACCCCTTTAAGCCTCCAGGGTTTGATGGGAGAGAGGCATTTGTAAACCCAAAAGCCTATTGGAAGGAAGAGGAGAGCTGGTGGTTTGACTAAGACTAAGGAGGGTTACCCTGGCATACTATCTCAACAATGGAAGTTCATTAATGAAAAGCACCAATAAAATTCATAACAATTCAATGCATCACTTCCTTCTGTTCCCAACCCTTCCATTCCTTCCAGCCACCATCCCAGGGGCTGCTGACTTCCCAGTTGAATTGCAAAATTTTAAAAAAGGAGTGCTCACTTCAGCAGCACATAGACTAAAAGTGGAACAATACAGAAAAGATTAGCATGGCCCCTGCACAAGGATGACACACGTTTGTGAAGTGTTCCATATTTTTCTAAGTTATTTCGAAAAAAAAAAAAAAAAAGGAGCTTTGCACTGCTGGCTCATGCCTGTAGTCCTAGCTACTCTGGAAGCTAAGATTTGAAGATCTCAGTTCAAAGCCAATCTGGCAGAAAAATCTGTGAGACTCATCACTAGTTAACCACCAAAAAGCCAAAAGTAGGGCTATGGCTCAAATGGTAGAGCACCAGTATCGAGTACAAAAAGGACAATGCTCAAGCCCCAGTACTGGCACACACACACACACACACACACACACACACACAATTATATCAACACATATGTTCTCCTTCTTTTAATATTTCGATTAATGAGACTTTACATTCTGTTTTGTCACACCCCCTCATATCTTGGACACATTTTCATACAAACCAATCAATTAACCTGCAAGGTAGAACTCACCTCCCAATGGGGAAAGACTTCTGTAAATCCTTCCTTTATTCTTAAGTCTTTCTTCAACATGGTGCAGTGTGACTCTTAAGAGACTGTTTCAGAGCAAGAGAGATAGGTAATATGCCAGTGGACCATTGTGATTTCTCCTCAACCTGACTGGAAAGTTTGCATTCCTATTTAAGTAAATGTGAGGACCATTTTCCCTCTGGGTTTTTGCTGAGCCTGGGTTAAGGAGCAGTGAGGGGGAGTCTCTCAAGTCTCTCAGTGATGCTTCAGGTTGAAGATCACAAGATCATACTGTTTGTCCTTCCCAGGCAAGCTCAAGATTGTCATATGCCACAATTTGGGTTGCGTTGGGGGACAGAAAGGGAGTTCCTGTAGCTGAGATAATGCATGTTATAATATGGTAACTTCCTGTTCTGCAACTGTCACTTCCCAACAGAGATGGGGCAATTAGAAAGCTTTGAAGTACAGTATATGCAGGGGAGAATTCCAATTAGCCTACAGTGTAACAAAATGACCATCAGGAAACTGGAACTTGAGGTATGAGGGCAGGAGACAAGGTCAAGGGGAGGGTGTAGAGATAAATGAGATGAATGAAGAGAAGGGTGGAAAAATACAGTCATAATATTTAAGGTATATGTATGGAAACAGAACTAGGAAAACAGAGTATGGCTGGAGTTGGAAGACATAGAGAAAATGATGAAAAGGGTGACATTGATTAAGATGTTATACTCATAAACTGACATGTTGAATTGAAACTCCTTTGTCCAATGATTCAAAGATAATAATAATAATAACAATAACAATAATATAAAGTTTTGAGTGGAGAAGAGAATTCAGCGGAAAGTTCTGCTATTCAGGGAGTGGCCATCTAGGGTAGGCCTGGGACTCGGGAGCAGAGAAGGATCTGCTGATGGATGTAGCCTACTGATCTTTTCTGCCAAGTACTAGGTGTAAAGGTAGAGCCAACTTGGACCCATTCGACCAGTCCATGTGCCAGCCAAAGACCACTGGCCAACCCCCACTGATGCCACAGAGACACATGAGCTGAGCCCTGCCTGACCCATTTTACATCAGGAAATATAATAAAATAGTTGTCATTAGGCCACTAAGCATGGAGTAGTGGAAGACAAGTGTAAGCGTACCCCAGTCAGTATTGTACATACAGGCCTGGCAAAGCTCAGACTGCTTTCTACAACACAGCACTGTGGACTGGGGATTCAAATGCAGGTGCTTATTTCTCACAGCTCTGGAGGCTGGAAACTGAACCTCGAGGTCAAGCAGACCTGAGGCCCAGAGAAGGCTCTTCCTGGCTTGTCGATGGCCCCTTCTTGCTCTGTTTTTCACATAGTGGACAATGGACAAGAGAGTTCTTTTTTTTTTTTTTTTTAGGGGGGAGGGCATCTTCTATCAGGAAACTGAGCCCAGTCCTGAAGGGCCTACCCTCCATCCATCTGGACAGCAGGACTTTCAAAAGGGAAGCTCTGGGCTCCGTGAGACCGAACATGGGGGCAAGCGGTGCTCTGGAAGGCAATGTCTTTTCTTCTGGAGTTGGTTGGCACTGCTTCCGGAGCCAGCTCAGGTTCAACAGTGTGGGACGGTGCATAGCCTTTGCAGAGAAGAGTGACAAGGAAATTGCAGCCATCGATGTTGTCTGTCATGTTTCTGTTGCCCACACTGGGGAGGCCCAGGCAGGAAATTCTGTTAAATAATAAAAAGCCTACAGTGGAGGTGTGGCTCAAGTGGTACAGCCTTGAGTTTAAGCCCTAGTATGGGCACAAAACAATATAATTTAAAAATTGTATGTAATTTTTAGTTTACATATAATAAAGCCACCCTACTGTGCAATAGAACCCTAGAATTTATTCCTACCTAACTCTACTTCTGTGTTTGTTTACTAATCCCCTATCAGATATATTTACAGTGTGTATTGTGGTATTTTGACAAATTTCTCTAATATGTAATGATCAAATCAGGATAATTAACATTTCTATCATTCACCATTTCCTTCAGTAAGAATATTTAAAATTCTTCCCTCCTGGGAAAGTAGCTCAGTGGTAGAGTACTTGCTTTGCATGCATGAGGCCCTGGGTTCAATTCCTCAGCACCACATAAGCATGAAAACCAGAAGTGGTGCTGTGGCTCAAGTGGTAGGGTGCTAGCCTTGAGCAAAAGAAGCTCAGAGCTAGTGCCTAAGTCCTGAGTTCAAGCCTCAGGACTAGCAAAAAATAAAAATCTTTCCTCCTCCTCCTCCTCCTCCTCCTCCTCCTCCTCCTCTTCCTCCTCCTCCTCTTCTTCCTCCTCTTTTTGTAGGTTATTAGAAATAAGAGTCTGATGGACTTTTCTGCCTGGTCTGACTATGCAATCCTCAGCTCTCAGCTTCCTAAGTAGCTAGGATTACAGGCGTGAACCACCACACCTGACTAGATCTCAGCCTCTTGAGCAGCTAGGATTACAGACATGAGCCACTGGTTCTCTGACTTGAGACACAGATACACACACACACACACACACACACACACACACACACACACACACACACACACAAGAACCTGTAATTTTCACCAACAATATCTCTGAGAAGTGCTTATCTTCCATCATCACTGGAGGGGCCTCTGGGAGAAAGACCCATGTACAAAGTAAAAAAGAATCCTCTGCCTCTTTCTCCCCCTGTTTTCTGCAAGGAGCTCTTGATTGACAGGCTACCAATTCCCATATCTGTCTCTGTCTCTCCCAGCTTGCCATATTCTGGAATGCTGTGATGGGCTGGCTCAAGATGTCATCGGCTCCATCGGACAAGCCTTTGAGCTCCGCTTTAAGCAATACCTGCAGTGTCCTTCCAAGATTCCGGCTCTCCAGGACCGGTGAGTTGAGCAATTCTATCATCTGCAAAGCTTCTCTGTGTTCTATGAGATCTTTCCTTTTTAGGACCATCTCTCAGACTGCAGGCAGACCTATCCAGCTCATCAGACACTTGGTTGTTGCTGGGCTATGGCACTGCAAACAGACAGATGGAGACCAGAGTATGGATGATGCCTTCAGACATTTTCTTGAAACTATAGTATTGGTAGTCAAGGTTACCAAGAAAAAAAAAGAAGAAAAACAACTTCACTGTGCGATTTTGGTCATTCTGTTCCTTCTGAAGCCATGTGATTTTTCCCCCCATATGTCACCTGCTGGGGCTATGTCAACACAGTTCTAGGTATCCCATTGTCTTTGTCACATTTAGGTAAAGTCCTGTTACAAAAGAAGCTCCCAGTGGTTCCAGTGCCATTGCTTCAGGGCCTCTGTGACAGAACAGCTTTGGGACTTTTGTGTCTGCTGTGTGGCTCTGGGCAAGTTCCTTAAATTCTCTGACTCTTGGCAGCTTTGACTGTAAAATAGGAATGACACCTGGTGACAGCAGTTTTAATGAAAAAGAATAGTGAATGTCAACAGCAGTTAGGAGCTACTTAGTTTATTACAATATTCAGAATCTGCCATTGCATTTGCATATTTATAAGAATAGTCCATGTAGCAAAACACTAAAAAAAAAACACCCCAAAAACCCACTTCTGGCTCTACTGGGCGCTGGTGTCTCATGCCTTTAATCCTAGCTACTCAGAAGGCTGAAGTTCAAAGCCAGTCTGGCTAGACAAATCCAAGAAACTCTTACCTCTAATTAGACATAAAAAAAAACAAAACTAGAAATGTTTCTTGGCTCAAGTGGTAGAGTGCCAGCCTTGAGTAAAAAAAAGCCAAATGAAAGCGTGAGGCTCTGAGTTCAATGCCCAGAGCTGGCACAAACTATGTTAATAAACAATTAATAAATTAAATTAAAAATAAAAAGTATTGTAGGTTTTTTGTTTTGTTTTGTTTTTTTGGGGCCCTGTCGTGGGGCTGAACTCTGGGCCTGGGCACTGTCCCTCAGCTCTTCAGCTCAAGACTAGTGCTCTACCACTTGAGCCACAGCGCCACTTCCGCTTTTTTTCTTTTTGCTTATGTGGTGCTGGGGAATCGAACCCAGGGCCTCATGCATGCAAGGCAAGCGCTCTACCACTGAGCCACCTTCCCAGCCCCATATTGTAGGTTTTTTGGTGTTCTTTTTGTGATTTTGTTTGTGTTCTGTCCTTGATGAAGCACTTCATGAAAATCTGTTATAGTGATGTGTTCACTGCAAATAAATTTTCTCTCTCTTTTTTTTTTTTTTGCGGGTCGTGGGGCCTGAACTCTGGGCCTGGGCGCTGTCCCTCAGCTCTTCAGCTCAAGGCTAGCGCTCTACCACGGGAGCCACAGCGCCACTTCCAGCTTTTTCCATGTATGTGGTACTGAGGAAACGAACCCAGGGACTTATGCATGCAAGGCAAGCACTCTACCACTGAGCCACCTTCCCAGCCCTAAATTTTATTTCTCTTAGCTTTACTTTGTACTCCCAACTGGTAAAGTGACACTCCATAAAATAATCTTGAAGCCACTTCTTCTTTTGTCTTTGATTTGAAATTTACTTGTGTAATGTGTGAACACTATCACCTTCAAAATCTGGAGCAAGCTTTTTTTTGAGATAATTAAAATACAATTCTTGCTTAGAGACAAGTATGTAAAGAATAAAACAACAGTTGATTGCATTAATTAGTGAATTTAATATACATATTTATGACTAGAAAGAATACTAAAATATAAATGAGACACAGTTATTTATAACACATGTTACAAACTATTAGCTTTACTACAGAAGAGGTTTTCTTTGAGTAGTTCTGCTTAAGATTCAAGAAACATGAACCAAAGACATAATAGTAAGTTCTAACGTAAGAAATACAAATGTTTAATAAATGTAGAAGCTGTTAAGTGAGTTTAGCAATTGAAGTTTGAAAATTACAGTAAATAAACATCATTTATATCCTTTTTGGTAGAGTGCTTGAAAATTTTAATTGAAGTATCAATTTTTTGTTTTGTTAACCCAGCAATCCCTCTCATCAATATGTATAGAAGACACACACACACACACACACACACACACACACACACATACACACTCTTATACACACACATATCCAGAACCTATCCAGAACCTTTTTATTGGTAATAAGAGAAGCTTCAATAAAATATGCAATTATAGCTAATTGGAAAGTCTACACAATAGAATACTAGCCATTAAGTGTTATTTAACAAAAATGTGGATATGCTTACCATATAATGCACTCCAATTGTCTACTTGAATGTTTTCCCTCAACAGTTTGTTTCCTATGAATGTGCTAGGAAATGGAGATTCCCTCTTACTCCCAGCCAGCTGCACTTCCCCTTATCTGATACTTGGTATGTTACACAATTCTGAGATATTTGCTCTAGGATTCACAGAGATAGTATGCCATTGCCATCTAAACATCAACTTGTCATTGAGGTTACTACAAAAAAAGCAATCATTAAAATTCTCAGAGAAGGGGCTGGAATGTAGCTTGGTGATAGAGTGCTTGCCTAGCATGCATGAAGCCCTGGGTTCAATTCCTCAATACCACATACAGAGAAAAAGCCAGCAGTGGCACTGTGGCTCAAGTGGTAGAGTGCTATCCTTGATCAAAAGAAGCTCAGGGACAGTGCCCAGGCCCTGAGTTCAAGCCCCAGGACTAGCAAAAAAAATTCTCAGAGAAACTTTTCTCAGTTAGAAATCAGAAAATAGAAAGTTTTCTTAGTACTAGATATAGCAAGCATATTTCTACAAGAGAAAAATATTACAGAGGTTTTACATACATTGATACCTACATAAAAGCTGAACCCAATATAATTTTGAGTTTCCAGAATTAAACAGAAAATAAAATGCAGTTGCTGAATTTAGCAGTGAAGAGGCTTTATACTCTCATGACAAAACACAGACTGAAAATTGGAATGCTTAAACTGACTTCTGACTCAATCTGTAACAGGCATAATTCATTTTATAAGTTATTCTAGAACAGCCATAATCAGTTTGAACCAATCTCATCTCCAACTACAAAATTTAGCAAGTAGGAATTGCCTGAAATAATTATTTCTATGTATAAGCCTATGCAATGTGGATAATATTGGATAGCCTAAAATGCTATATACTAGTGGATGATGTTATAGTAATTTAAATGGAAATATTCTCTATGCTATCATATCATGTCTTTTATTATTAATGATAATTATAAAATTTTGATTTTATTTACATTGCTTTGTAGAAATTCAGTTAGTATAGTAGTATATTATTGATATAAGCATATTATATAATACATTGCATTATAAAATTATATATAATATGTATGCAATGTATGATGAATATGTATATACACACATATACACTATATATATTATTGTAATATTTTTCAAAATGTCTAATATGGAGCTCAGAAGACATTTTTGGGAACAGTGCTTTAATTTTCTAAAAACAATAAAAGTAACATTAAGTCTAACATGTTTATTGTGTACCTAACTGAAATATATTTCTGAACCATACAATCCAATAGAAGTAACATATTATGACTGATCACATCATTTTCACATTGAAAATATTTAAATTAAATGTTTCTAGGAAGTGTCATAGCTTTGTTGGAATTAGGTCATGTAAGAAAACTGTACCTTCATGTACATAATTTGCAACCAAATCAGGAAGTCTCAAGAGTTATACCCTTCTCCAAAAACATTTTTTTATCTTTTAAAACAAATTTTACAGTATATGGCTCCTTCAATAACAACAACAATCTAATATTCATACTATGAATAGTCTTGGGGAAGGCTAGGCCTTTGACATGAAGTAACAAAGATGTATGTTATAATATAGAAATAATTTGTGATTTCAAAGTGTTAATTTTTGTTACTTTTCGACTGACTGCATGTGTTAAGCCGCTATCATTAAGGCTTCTTTCATTTCCCTTCTCCTTTGCTTCTTTCTGGAAAGAGACTCCATTTCTTTTCTTCATCCCTTGGAATATTTCCTTTATCTCATTGTTTTGGAGGCACTTGTGAAGGGCTCACTAGTCCCAGTTGATGGACAGTTCAGCAAGCACAGACAGTTCAGGAAAACTGTCTAAGGAGGGTTGGAGACTGAACATGATCAAGATCCAGATGGTCCTGGTCTGACAGTCAACACACTTCTTCATCTATGTGTGATGGAGAGGTGGCCATTGAAAGAGTTCATTTATCTACATGGATTACTAGGATAAATCTAAAAAATTTGATAGAGTGGCAAAAAGCAAGTTACAGAAGTTACATCTTGAAAAGCACCTAACAGTTGTTATGTATCATTTATAGTTCCATACAATTTTAGAGGGAAGATGGAAATATCAATTAATGTTACATATCACCTTCAGAGTAGCCAAGGAGGCAATAAGGTAGAAGGATGGTTGGCTTTAAACTGTATTTGTCAAATGTATTTCCCCCTTAACACTTTATAATGAAAAATGTTCCAGTAGACATAATGAATTTACAGTGAACATCTATAGATCCATCTCTAGAGCCTACCAATCACATTTGGCTGTATCACCTATATATCTATCCAGCCAAAGGAAATTTGACAAATTTCCCTTGCATTCTTCCTTCCTCCTTCCTTTCCTCTTTTTCTTCCTGTCTTTCATCTTTCCTTCCATCTCTCTCACTTCCTCTCTCTCCTTTCCTCCCTCATTTCTTTTCCTCTCTCCCTACCACCCTTCTTTCCCTCCTTATTTTCTTCCTTTTTTGTTGTTCCATGAAAATCTTTTTTTTCTTGAAAGAAAGAAAGCCTAGAGCAGAGCAAAATGTTAAGTAATATGGCTTTAATGTCAGTGGTGGACATCCAGGTGTCTTTAAATTTTATTATGACAATCTTCTGTATTCCTGAAACATTGCATTAAAGTCAAGTAAATGCTGTTACAAACTAGACAAAAACTGGAAAGGGAGT